TAAATTTTTTTCCCTGGGATGGTATGCGATAACTTTATAGGAGCCGCGTTCAAAATTAGACAGTGGGCGTGGCACAGCCCACTTTTAGGTGAAAACCCGTATCTTGAGATCTGCTTAACCAATTTCAACAAAATTCGGTACATAACGTTATTTTCATATTTCTATGTTATAGTGCGAAAATGGGCGAAATCGGACTACAACCACGCCTATTTCCCATATAACACCATTTTCAATTCCATCTGATTCTTTCACTTTCCACTATGAATATCAAGCAACAATGATTATATCGGGGTAAAACTTTGCTTGAATAATACGTTTAAAGTATGCCACCTTGTGACCAAAAATTGTCTAAATCGAACCAAAACTGTTCAAGCCCCCAAGTACTAAATATGTGGACCCCAGTGCCTATAGTTGACCTTCTACCGAAAATATCAGCCAATCCACAAAGATATCTCAAACAAGTATACCATTTGACTTTACGAGAGGATAAAATGTTCGTTTACATCCGAACTTAGCTCTTCCTTACTTGTTTCATCAAAGAAGGTAAAACAATAGCAACAATTACTGTAAACCTCCACATACTAAAGCTTTTTACTAAGGATTTCAAATAAGCTGTTTCTAAGACAGAAACTGAGTTTGAGTTTGGTTAGCACCTGGACAAGAAGTTTAGAAATAAGAGTATTCAAGATAAAAATGGAGGTTGTTGGATATCGCGGTGCTCAGATAAACGAACAGAACAGAATCTTAGAACAGTTATTAGTTCATGTTCTTAACTGTTAAAGTTGAATACCATATATCGATAAAGAGGATTCAATCGCAAAAGCGGGATAGTCAAGAAAATAGTGTTGAGATGATTGGAAAGCATCTGGTAACGTTCAGATATCTGTAGAATGCAGCACCAATTCTTAGGAAGCGCTTTATAAAAAAACATCAATTTTATGATATTGTAATCTGTAAAAAAGCATATATACTAGGTTTATATAATTTCTTTCTTTGCCATAACTGCCGTAAATTCTTTCTACAACAGATGGATATCCACATTTATGCGTATTTCTGCTTACATATTGTATTATATGTGTTTGTTGAATGACTGTATTCATGACTGGTGTTGCAGCGTTTCCAGATTCAGATACTATTGCGAATGTAGTCTGGATTGCAGCAGGCTACTGCTTAGCTTTGCGATCTACCTTGTCAAGTCAACGTCACACAACGATGTGTCTGTCAAATCAGTAGTCTCTATGTGTTTTTTGTACAAAACACACACCGCCCGTGAACACACTATGTACAAACTCATGAGCCTTACTGTGTCAATTTGTATGTATTTTACTTATTTCTACTCTTTGCACACACCCCTCTTTAGCAGTCACGTTGCTTGACATTAATCGCGTTCGTGCCGGAGTTAATTTTTTCATATTTCCTTAAGTTTTCTCCTACATTCTGCAACGGGAACAAAAAGCTCGGCTCGTAAATTCGTACTCTGGAAGTAGGACATATTGCTTAAATCGATTTACATATCATTTACAATATGTGTATGCATACATATGGAGCCCCTACACAGTGTATGAAGGTAAATGCGAACTGAAAACCGTGTATATTACTCTCAATTATTAAATTTGAGTATTTGTTTATTATTTCATTAAAAGCTTAAGTTGTTCGATACATGTACGTACCTAAGTATTCATCTGTCAAATAATATTTTCCATATCGATTTGGTAAGGTATTTAGTTAACCTTTTAGAGGTGAGTACAATTTTTAGTTTAGAAGCGGCCTTCTTTCTGCTCTGAAATTTATAAATACAATAATTAGGTGCTCATGTGGAGACAAGGAATCTAATCTCCAATAGCCTTAAGCGGCTGTGAAAGTGACTCTGAACACGGCTGCAGCATCAGGTAGTCGCAACAGCTAAGCCAAACAAGTTGAGTTAAATTTGCACACACCCACGGGGCTTTAGTAACTTTTTGTCAAAAAAAGACGAATTAAAAAATAAGGAAAAGCTTAATATTCATAAAAAGAAAAATTCACAGTGACCAAATTGTGACACATTTGTCATATTTCGACGCCAGTTTTTGGTGTCTGTTACTTTTAGTGCTTGCTGTTTTTACAAAAAACTCCATATTTCTCTTTAAAAGAAAACAAAAAAATGCCATTTTGTCTCTTGTTATGTACACCGTATTTTCGCTGTTTTGTTTTCACTGCTGCTAGTTATTTTTGTGAATTTTGCCTAGCCTAAGACGATTTTGCAAATCCGATTTCAATACACCAACATCTTGCGTCGCATATCATACGCCAAAGTTGATGCACAAAATATGCTGCGCTGGTATACCGACTACTGTGCAACCAAGCGTTTGGGATGACACGACCGACATGTGGCACTCACATAAGCAGAGGCGGCTCAACGGTGGAATACCATAACAAGGTTGAGATACCAGCCAACGGCGACGACTTTGTAGTCATGTGAGTTAACTTGGCTTTTCACCTTATTAACCGAGGCGGCAGCATTGTCGCCTCATGTCAGTTCGCGAGCCTCTATTGGCCACAGCTCAACGCGCACCACGTAGTAATATGGAGAAAAAGATGAAAAAGAAAAAGAAATTTAAATCTGACGTTTTTATGCTGACAATTTATTTAGTGGAGAATCTTAAAAATGTCAAACGCATATCAAAAGCCACATTCGAAAACATGCGTTGCTACAATTAGTTGACTTCTAAAACTTCGCAAACAATTTATACACTTCGATTGCAGGAGCTTTTGCGTGTATGTGGGTTTGAGCGCAGTGAAAAGTATGAGTAAACAAGATGTAAATCAAATGCGTCCGCCTGCTGCCCACACACCACCGTGTCGTGGCTCCGAGCCAGTTGGCCCGCCTCTTTTTTTTTATATGTGCGCACCAAGGAATAACCAAGTGGCAAAACGACAGAAAATATATATGCAATGAAGACACAGCGAAGCAAAAAAGTAAATAAACACCGCAAAGGCAAATCAGCCATGGCAATAGCAACAGCACTAACAAGCCGATATGCAACGAAAAATAGTCTCATTGACAGCGGCGGCAACAGCGTTCGAAGCAGCTGCAACAGTCGACATGAAATATTTGCCTTCAACTCACTTCCTTTACCACCAATTTTGTTGATGCTCACCCCAGTATATTTACATTTCACGATTTTAGGTTTATTTGCTTTTTAATTTGTACCGAAAATAAAAATGTGTTCACAGGCTTCAGTTGTAGCCGCAGCCGCCGCCACAGACTTGCATACATATACACATATACTATAATGCGTGGGCAAAAACCCTTCTAGACTGAAATCCCTCTCGACGCATGCTTCCCGCTGCCCACACTCCTAAGTTGTTTGTTCTCTTTGTTTGGCTTCGCTCACTCTTTTTATACTCTCGCAACCTGTTGCTACAGAGTATAATAGTTTTGTTCACCTAACGGTTGTTTGTATCACCTAAAACTAATCGAGTTAGATATAGGGTTATATATATATAAATGATCAGGATGAAAAGACGAGTTGGAATCCGGGTGACTGTCTGTCCGCCCGTCCGTCCGTCCGTCTGTCCGTCCGTGCAAGCTCTAACTTGAGTAAAAATTGATATATCTTTATGAAACTTGGTAGACATGTTTCTTGGTAGCGTGAGACGGTTGGTATTGCAGATGGGCGTAATCGGACCACTGCCACGCCCACAAAACTCCATTAATCAAAAACAAATAACTTGCCATAACTAAGCTCCGCAATAAGATACAAGACTGTTATTTGGTACACAGGATCACATTAGGGAGAGGCATCTGCAGTTAAAACTTTTTTTTAAAAAGTGGGCGTGGTCCCGCCTCTAATAGGTTTAATGTGCATATCTCCTAAACCGCTAATGCTATAATAACAAAATTCACTAGCAGCAAATGTTTTTAGCACTTCTATTGACGGTGTGAAAATAGTTGAAATCGGGTGGCAACTCCGCCCACTCCCCATATAACGGTACTGTTAAAAACTACTAAAAGCGCGATAAATCAAGCACTAAACACGCCAGACACACTAAATTTTATCTCTGAGATGGTATAAATTGGCTTTATAGGAACCGCGTTCAAAATTAGTCAGTGGGCGTGGCACAGCCCACTTTTAGGTGAAACCCCATATCTTGAGATCTGCTCAACCGATTTCAACCAAATTCGGTGCATAACGTTCTTTTCATGTTTCTATGTCATAGTGCGAAAATGGGCGAAATCGGACTACAACCATGCTTACTTCCTATGTAACACCATTTTCAATTCCATCTGATTCTTTCACTTTCCACCAGGTAACAATGATTATATCGGGGTAAAACTATGCGTGAATAATGCAATTAAAGTATGCCACCTTGCGGCCAAAAATTGTCTAAATCGAACCAAAACTGTTCAAAGCTGTGGGTAGAGATAAGCTGGCTGCCGACTTGTGAATGCTGTCGTTATTGTGCTTATGAATTTACAGATTTCCTGCTCATATGCAAGTATGCGTTTAGGTATAAAGATGATGATAAATATGTGCAAGTTGAAATACCCTGTTTAACCTTGTACGCGCACACTTCAGCATCGGTTAGATACTTCCAAAACTGTTCTACAGCGACGAGTTGCTAACCCCACCGCCACTTTCTACTAGTCAGTGGTCCCATTCACCAAGCAGCTGCTGGACAATAATAGCAATTTACTCAAAACGAAAGAGTTACACCTCAGTATTCGCAATCTAACGCCTGAGATGTGTGAGTATATTAAACTTTCATTGCAGACCATTAATAAACATGTGTATTAGTATTATTTATTGCATCTCCCTTTTCCGCTCCATTTCACAAAGAGAATAAGTGCACTAATGGAAACAGTGGTATCTAAAGGAGGAATGAGCATTTAATATTGTGTTTGCTCTGCGCTTTGAACTAAGTAGCCTACATTTAAGTGCGTTGAAGTCTCCCTTTTATTTATATAATATAAAATAAAAAAGTGACAAAAATTCGAAATATGTCAATAGAGCACTTACTTTCGAAAATAGACCAACTAAGACAAACATTTTGGTTAGACCGCTGGTTTTCTAAATATTCGCATGTCTTAGTTAATCTTTAGACCTTTTGTCAATAATGGAATTGAACTGCTGGTTTCTAAAATGGCAACAGCCAAAGATACTTTCTATATTTTTTTCCAACTGATTCTTGCTTTCACTTAAATGGTGTCTTTTTTGGACCTTAAAGTTGAAATCACTGAGTACAAACTGGGTTCGATTTTTATCCTTTTCCCTATCTATAACTAATACAATACTAGTGCTTTGTAAGGGTGTCCAGTCCACCATAAACCTCTTACGTATTAATCCAGACTGACAAATATAGTTCCTAAGGATTTGAAGATGATTAAAATAGTTTATATAAAATCATTATGATTGTTCTTAGTCAATTTCAAATATTACTTTCATAAAATTTTGATATACTTAATCACAAATCATAGAGGCAAAGGTACATATATATATAATATGACGTAATTGATATGGAACAAGGACACGTAAATATTAAAAATAAGTGAATATGAAGAAAACAAGGGACACTGTATCCTAAAATTTCCGTGCACTGCATGCATGAGGACGAGAGATGAGATGAAGAATGAATACCCAAGGGAAATTTGCAGTTTGTTTACTCGAATTCCTCATTTTCGGGGTCACACATTTAAATTGTTTACTTAGTGCCGTTTTACATTGGGACTCAAAAGAGTCTCAAACCAGTTTATTATGGGCGAGGGGACGACGTGGAAAGACGAAGGGACCGTGCCACTCGTGTTCGGGTGGCACGCTTTGTGTTCTTGTTCGTAACAGCTCGCTGCTACCCTTTTCAGTTTCAAATTCTTTTAATGGTTGCAAGAGCAATCGGTTTCAAATGAATTCGTTCGCAACTTTGAATTCTGTTATCTATTTTTTGTATGTAATATGCAAATATGTATGCATAGAAAAATAGAAATATTTTGAAAAATTGTAAATAAGGAGAAAATTAAGATATAGATTATGGAGTAAAGAAATTATGAATTTTTAATACGGAGTAAAGAATTTATGCGTTTTTAATACTTAAAGATTAGGAAATTCCTTTTATAAATTTGGCCTTGAAAATATTACTAACGGATATTCAATACATTCTTGTGGATTAGGGAATTGCCGTCTTTAGTATTTCTTTGAAACTATTTAGCGGGTAGGTACTTGTATTATGCATATTGTTCTACCATATTCTTGGTAATTCATTGCAAGCAAAATGTGCGACCATCATCTCAACATACAAATGAAATACGCAGCACGCAGTGTTGCGCAGTCGAACCGCACAAATATTTATGAAAATTTTGTGAGAAGGAATGCAGAAAAACTAGACTCGAGTTGCTGGACTCTTTTTGACCGTGTGAATGCACAGAGCGACACCAAAAGAAAATTTGAAAAAAAAATGAGACTCTTTTGAGTCCCTATGTAAAAGCACACTTACAGACGTGACGGAGACAAAGTGGGGCAAGGCAGAAGTATAGCGATTGAGAGACTGAACATCTTTGAGCTTGGTGTGAGTCACCGAAAAGAGCAGAACCTTGTGGAAGTATGGAAAAGTTGAACGATAATGAAAAAAAGGTGAAAAAAATAAAACAAACAAGTAAGGAAAGGCTGAGTTTGGGTGTATCTGTACATTTTATACTCTCACAATTTGCAAGGAACAAACCCGGAGAAATAATTCAGGCTTTGGCAAAACTTTATATTAAACAAGTAAGGAATTGCTAAGTTCGGATGTAACCGAACATTTTATACTCTCGCAAAGTCAAATGGTATACTTGTTTGAGATATCTTTGTGGATTGGCTGATATTTTCGGTAGAAGTTCAACTATAGGCACTGGGGTCCACATATTTAGTACTTAGGGGCCTGAACAGTTTTGGTTCGAATTAGACAATTTTTGGTCACAAGGTGGCATACTTTAAACGTATTATTCACGCAAAGTTTTACCCCGATATAATCATTGTTGCTTGATATGCATAGTGGAAAGTGAAAGAATCAGATGGAATTGAAAATGGTGTTATATGGGAAATAGGCGTGGTTGTAGTCCGATTTCGCGCTATAAAAACATTTGCTTCCAGTGAATCTTGTTATTATAGCATTAGCGGTTTAGGAGATATGCACATTAAACCTATTAGAGGCGGGACCACGCCCACTTTAAAAAAATTGTAACTGCAGATGCCCCTCCCTAATGCGATCCTGTGTGCCGAATACCAGCGTTGTATCTTATTGTGGAGCTTAGTTATGACAGTTTATTTGTTTTTGATTAATGGCGTTTTGTGGGCGTGGCAGTGGTCCGATTACGCCCATTGCAATACCAACCGTCTCACGGTACCAAGAAACATGTCTACCAAGTTTCATAAAGATATCTCAATTTTTACTCAAGTTACAGCTTGCACGGACGGACAGACGGACAGACAGTCACCCGGATTTCAACTCGTCTTTTCATCCTGATAATTTATATATATATAACCCTATATATAACTCGATTAGTTTTAGGTGATACAAACAACCGTTAGGTGAACAAAACTATTATACTCTGTAGCAACAGGTTGCGAGAGTATAAAAATATTTTGTTGCGTAAGAAGTAAACATTCATTATTCAACGAAATCGTAAAAGGATTACAATCATATTTGGTATCTATTAACTGATATTATAGGTCATAGACCGATTAATTTTACAATATTATTATACAAGTATTTTGCTGCTTTTTTGATACAAGACCGTGCTGTTACCATAAAACATTATTTCCGAATTTTAAGAAAAGAATTGACAGATATTTTTGGTAAAAAACTCATAGGCACTGGGGTTCACAAACTCAGTATCTGGGGTTTGAAAAGTTGTGATCTGATTTCGTCATTTTTTAGACGTCAGATGGATTAGCCTAAAGGCACATATTTGTTTTAATTTTTTATTCGACAACGTCGTTAACACTGGATTTATATATTTAGGGTATTCACAAGGTGTCATATCGTCGTATTGTCTTATTTTTTTATGACTGTCATATCAACACTGTTGTTGTTTCCCATACAAAATTGAAATACGACAAATACAACACGGCGAGATATCTTTTTTGAGTGTGCTATTCTATCAGCTGTATCTGTTTACTTTTTATTGTTCACCTTTAGGTGTCTAAAATTATTAAATTAAATTCATTTCATCAATTTCTTTAATATTATATTAATTAGGAATAGGTTTTAACCTAAAGGTGGGCGGTATCACGCCCATTGTTCACTTTTGACCTGCTCTTATGAGAATTTTCTGCATCATATAGGAAGTGACGGATTTATTAAGTGAGTCAACTCACTTTTAGTAGTTTTCAACATAACCCTTATATACTTGTATGTATGGGCTATCACACGACACTGTCGGAAGAAGTGTCGAAAAGATTTGTCGTAAAGGAATTTGGTTGATATAGTTTAAGTGCTTTATTTTTGTGTGTTTCAAACCACAAATGCCCCTCTTTACTGTGATTTGTTGTACCGAATTACCATTTTGTATCTTAATTACGGCTCAGTTATGGCTTTTTGTAGATTTTTGTTGCAATGTTGCCATTGTTCTATGTGTACAAGTATACACGATTTTTCACACATTTAGTTTTTTAGTTATAATTTTTCGTAATGTAAAAGCTCAAAACTAAAATCAAACTATTAAAAATAATCTACCTGTTTTAAATAAATGTATTCGACTCTGATTTTGAGTCATTTACATTGCGCTCTCATAAGATAGGTCGTATCAGCAGATTCGATCCACGATTTTGCGTCGGTGATTGTTTGAATTGTTAACCCTTTCGTCTTCCTGGTAATTTATGTACATATATTCATAACTGCATATTTATCACGACTAGTTTTAGGTGTCTTTTTACAAACAACCGTTAGGTGAACAAGACTATTGTACTACGCAGCAGCATGTTGTGAGAGTATAAAACTAGAAGTAAAACAACGACGAAGTACAAAACCAACACTACAGCAACATAGAGCAACAAACCGAAATGGAAAGCAAACAAGCCCAAAGTTGATAAAAAAGAAGCGCTATAAGACGAAAAACATTAATATGGCATTGCCAAAGGCCGTTATGTGTTGACAGTGTGGAGAAATAGAGCAAACATACATATTAATAGACAGGATAGCAAAAACGGAGGAATAGCGAAAACAAAAAAAAATAATAATACAAAGAACAATGGGAAGGGTCAATGCGACGGAAGGAAATTATTTGTTAGTTAATCGAGCGTGACAAATAATGAAGGTATGAGGTGTCCACTATATCTACATAAGTATATAATATGTATATTTGCTAAATTAATATGATCTGATAAATTTTAGATGATATGCGTACTGTAAGTACATACATTCAAGAATTAAGTTAATACTCTCAATTTCAATATTATGTGTGAGACATTAGAACTTTAATGCTCTTCCAATAAACTTATACATATACATATGTACTACAGATCTACACTGCTAACTACATATGTAAGCATACGTTTGTTGGGATGTGTATTTGTGGCAATATTAACCGAAAGTCAAATATGCAACTAAAAGTTGTTGATAGTTTGGCGGTTGCTTACTCAATGCCAGCCCCGTTCCTCACCAGACAGAAGCCCTAAAAGTATAATACAAAACTTTTCTTAAATCGGCGATTCGCAAGGAAAAGGCATTGCATATAGCAAAGGATAAAGTTTAACGCCACAACAATTGAGCTACGTCTTGCAGCAGCAGCTGAAGGTTACCAATTTCCAAAACACGGCAGGCCCGCTTCCACATCTGACACAAAGGAAGCACTCGGCTAAGTCACTCGTACAGCTACTAAAGTGACTTCAAGAGCCGGCAATACTACAAACCTGAATGTCATCCTAAACTCTCAAGTAGCACACAGGGGTGGCGTAGGTGGACGAAGCGGACGCGTGATCGAAAGTTGTGTGAAAATTAGTATGTAGGCAGATTTGAGCGAATGGTGTTGATGGCGCAACAGCTTATGTCCACTTCATTAAGCGCATTCAAAGCTGGCATCCAGCGACACTACGCCCGCAAATAAATCTGTTCACAATCGTTTTATTGCTGTGCGATAAAAGTGCTACATACCATAAATGTTTTCGCAATCGAGGAGATGTCGTAGGAAAAACTGCAACTTCGACAACGTCAAGTACCATAGAATGTGTTCAAGTAGGTGAAAGCATTGAGT